TCTTTTGGGCACCATTTCGTATACTTTTCTGCTGCTTAACATCCGGTTGCTTTGGCATCGTCTGGTCAGATATTGTATATTTGTATCTGGGGGTTGAACACCTCGACTCATCATATTTTGTCTTCCCTGAGCACACCGGGAAGTTTACTTTCCCGTTTTTCCTACTCTGCTTGATGGCATTGTACTAATGCAATTTTTTACGAGAACAAACGCTGCGTGAAAAGACAGTTGTTTGGATGGCTTCCAAAGTTGTTGTGGGATCACTTTTTATAGGAAATAATTTCAGCAGTGTCAGCTGTGCAATTTATATCCACAGAAGAGTAATTCCTCAGCAAGGATTGCCTCGTCGAGGCTCAATTCGACATTTGAATTGCTTCTGCATTTGGAGCGCAAGAGACTTGGCAGCAGTAATATCAATGAGTCAGCGGATCTGATTGAGACCATCTGTAATGTGATCGATTCAATCGTTGGACAGAACGCGCATATGGCTGAGAATGGAAAAAATAAGTCGGTCAGTGAGATGCAATGCAAAAATGTTGCTTAAGAAATTTCACTTCGTTAACGAAGTTTTCAGTGTTTTTTAAAGGGCAACACTAATGAATCTGTCGGGGACAGTGAGGGAGAGGGGGGGGGGGTGAGGAAGGGAGAAGATTAGTTTATAGCCAATGAATTATTATCGACTTTGGACGGCGCATGAGATTTTTCTAGACTAACAAGTATGATTGCAGATCAGAGACGTGAGAAAAAAGGCAGAACTGAAAACACCGGAAGAAATCATGCGGCGCCTCGACGAAGCGGAGTTGTGCGAGGAGATGCAGGATTGCAGGAGCTGCTTGAAGAGGCTGATTAGTGACATGAATAAAGGCATGACACAAGTCGAGCGTCTTTTGAACGAGGCGAGGCAGTGCTCAATGCGCTCCACATTTTTTTCCCAGCTATGTTCCGTTCGATGATAGCTTGCAGTGCTATCGGAGAACCATGTATGATAGTTTCAAATATTGCCTGAAGTTTGTGATATTTGTATTAGCCGTTGTTTAGGGCATGTGATCAACACAACAATACGGGGAACTCCATTATTTCCAGCTTGTTTCAAGTTGGCGAAATTCCCGTTTCTTCTTAATGCTCATTCAGTGTTGCTTGGTCTCCTGCACAGAGACGCAGAGCACTTGTGTTCTGCTTCTGCAACAGACTTCGTAAAAGACGCTGTTATGAGCTTTGACAGTCGATGGACGTTTTTCTTTCACAAAAGATATGATGCCATTCGAACACATGCGCTTTTTATAAACCGATGCGGAGACGCATCGA